GGTGCGGAGGCAATGATCGCGAAACCAAATTTTCATAGTACAAGCATATTTTCGGAAAAATTAGTTGCCATAGAATTACGCAAACTCGAAGTTAAATTCTACAAACCAATCTACGTCGGCATGTGCATACTCGACATATCAAAAGTATGTCTTTATGAATTTCACTATGAATACATGTCACCGCTCTATCGTGATAATTGTAGAGTAATGTATACCGACACGGACAGTTTAATATATCAAATTAAATGTCAGGATGTCTATGAAAATTTGAAACGCGATATCGCTCGATTCGATACCAGCGATTACGCTGTGAATAATGCGTACGGTATACCGCTTGCGAATAAAAAGGTGCCGGGTTTGATGAAAGATGAGAATAACGGCGCGATAATGACCGAATTCGTCGGGCTTAGAGCAAAAATGTATGCCTTGCGGGTGGATGGTAAAAAGGACACTAAAAAGGCAAAAGGTGTCAAAAGTAACGTCGTAGCGCGTAGTATAACATTCGACGATTATACGCGTTGTCTTAATGACAAAATTGAAATGACGCGTCAGCAGTCATGCATAAGATCGAAATTGCATAAAGTGTATACTGTCAGCAAGACAAAAATTGCTCTAAGTCCCTATGACGACAAACGGTATGTCGTACCTGAGTCGACCGACACTTTGCCGTGGGGACATTATCGAATACCGTTGTAAATAAATTATATTTAATATATTTATTATATTTATATTATATTTATATTATATTGTAAGGATGTATTAATGAGAATTATATATATTTGTTATAAATTTCATATATGGTATACAATATATATTATGTTATAAAATAAAATGATTGAATAAAATATGATGCACATTAAATAACATTGTTTTTATGTATCCAAGAGTTGTGCGAACTGTCGAATCCCAACCATTTCACGTAAACCTCGTCACCCTTCCTGCGCAGTATTTTCTCCACGAGGTACACATCCGGATAATTTGCGCGATGCAGCTCGTGCTCGTAAAACGCTTTAGCGATAGATGTCTTGCGATAATCCTCGAGTAGATATGTTACGGGATAAGTATGCTGCACTTTAACAATCTTAAACACCTCGGTTGTCCAATTTGGCGTGTATCCCTTCTCGAAAAGTTGTTTGTACTTGCTGACACGTACCTGATCACCTACTTTAAACTTTGCCGGGCCCGCGATTTTTAGCAGTGACAAGCCTAGCAGTGAACAGCCTGTCGGCTGCTGCGAACGAGGCTACGAACAAGTACTTAAAGGCTATGATCGCCTCAGGTACGGCTGCGAACGGGTCAGAAGCGACTGCGAAAAAGGCTGCGATCGAGTCAGGAACGATTCTCGAAACTGTCAAGGACGTGAGTGAACGAGAATCTAACATCGCTGTAATAAATGAAGAAACGAGATAAGCTTATCTGCTGATAAGACCCCCTCCCCCGCGTGATGTCACCCTCCTCATTGCCCCTGGGTTAGAACCCGTGTTGTATACCTACCTAAAAGAACAATTAATGACGGCGCCGGTACTGAAGTACCCGGACTTCTACGACGAATTCAACGTGACCATCAATGCCTCAAACTATGCAATCGGAGCCGTGCTGTCACAAAGACTGGTAGGCAAGGATAGACCTGTCGCTTATGCCAGCCGAGTGTTATCTCGTACCAAGCAAAATTACAATACCACCGAAAAAAATTATTAGCTATTGTCTAGGCCGTAAAACATTTTTGACCATATATTTATAGCACAAAATTTAAAACAATTACAGACCATAAATCTTTAATATGGCTGTTTAATGTAACTGACCTCGAATCGAGATTAATCCGCTGGAGATTAAAGCTCGAGGAATATGATTATGAAATTATACATAAGGCCGGACGAGCAAACGCGCTAAGCCAACACGAGATATCACTGAGGGAAAAAGAAACGAAATCTTCAAATTAGAAGAAAAAGACAAAGAAGAAGAAGAAGAAGAAAAACTCATCGATAAGACAAGAAAATATTCTGAAGAGGAAAAAATCAAATACTCTACGAATATCGCAATGCACCCACAGGAGGACAGGACATCGAATGAACTATTAAAAGAATTCAATTGAACCATAACTGGCTAGGATTGACACGATATATTGCTAAATGCAAATCCTGCCAGAAAAATAAGTTATCGCGACGAATAAAAGGCACCTCTCGTTATCACAGATACTCCGAGTAAACCATTCGAGAAATGCGCGCTAGATATCGTTGGATCATAAACAATACTACTAACAGAAATAAATATTTGTTAACATTTCAGAATAACCTTACAAAATTTAGTAAGGCGATACCAATTGCAAATCAAGAAGCAAATACAGTCGCGAAAAAATTCGTCACAAATATAATTTTCGAACACAGCATCCCTGAAAAAATTTTAACCAATCAAGGCACGAATTTTATGAGCGAGAAATTTATAAATATATGTAAACTATTGAGAATAGAAAAGATACAAACCGCGTATCATTTCGAAAATAATGGAGCATTAGAAAGATCATACGGCACATTAGCTGCATATTTGCGACATTATATCAACGCTGACTGGGACGAATGGGTACCATATGCGATGTTTACATATAACACTACCCCTCACACAGCTACAAGATAGACTTCCTTCGAACTTATACATATATGGACGTTAAGCCGACCTACCGACAACCCTAACGAGACCGCCTAAACTAACGTACAGCTACAACAATTACTTACAAGAAGTAAGGGAAAGAATACGGGCATCGAATCAATTCGCAAAGGAAAACATTAAAAAGAAAAAATAAAAGCGATAGAACACTTCGATAAATTCGCAAAAGAAACAAAATTTAAAGTAGACGACAAAGGTACTCATACACGACGAGACGCTCCGACGCGAACGATCAAAAAACTAGACGCGTTGTGGATCATACACAATAATAGAAAAAAATTCAAACGTGAATTATACAGTGAAAAAAGGAAGACAAGCAATGCGCATGCACATAAACAGATTAAAATTCTTTATAGAAAATTAGTACTTACTTAGTTGTCATCGGACTCCTCAGACAAGCCCCACGGCCCATAGGCCCACGATCTTTCCTCGTTACGGGCCTCCACCATCCACATAGTAGGAATAAGGTGGATCTGCTCTAAGGGCATTACGCGTACCCCTTAGACGGTACGCACCCCGGTCCTAACGTTCATGCAAATCTTGAAGGACCAACACAGATTCACAATACGTCCAACAGCCTCAAGGCCCGTGCCATCGGGATGCGTGGCAAATCTTCCCCTATCACCGCCACTAGCTACCATGCAGTCTCACAATTATCACAGTACCACAACATAGGATCACCGCAAACACAATAAACGAAGTACGACATTGCGATCTCAAAGGTTGTCAAAAGACTAAAGGGTAAAATGCAAAAGTACCTCAGGAGACATATAAAACGAACACCATTCTCACTTGATAAAAAATCGCAAAAACTGAAAACGTAAGAAGATACTATTAAAGATAAATTAAATACCCTATATATTATTACAGGGCACTCTCACTCTTAATTTGCAACGCTGCAATATCCAAGAGAAAATGAGAAGAATCAACGATATGAGATAACAGAATTCAAACACAATCCAGGGATACATTTCGAACGAATTGGCCAACTACATTATTCCAAGAAAACGTGGAAACTTGTGGTAAAATTAGATCTCACACATTTGAATTACAGACACGACAAATAAAAAATTACTTAAAATAGACGAAAACTGTAAACTAACAAGAACAGACACAACAATAGAAATAGAAAAAACATACGAAATATCATTTTTTTTAGAAACCTTTTTACCTAAAAGAAATATAATGAATCTACAAGACACTAACATAACAAAACACAACGTAGACACGTTAGAGGACATCGCACCGCATCGTCTAGAATTAACAAAACTTAAAACCAAATTGGAAGTTATAAATAATGATTTATAAAGTAATGAGCAAAATTTCTAAGCAAAGAAACAATTTATCTATCTAATAACATTTAGCGGAACAATAATAATAATTATAATATCCATTATAGCATGGATAATAATAAGAAAAGGAAATAAAAATAAAAGATGACCAAGAGTTATAATAAGCGACGATTTTTAAATACCAAGGTCAATACTAAAGAGAAGCCAAAGCACTAGATTTTAAGAAACGATTGTAATGCTATACTGTAATGGAAAACCACTATTATATGTAGATTAAGTAATTAATTTAAGGTGATGCCGGAGCGTTGGCCGAACTCCGACGGGTTAGCACCACACATATCTAAACATATGCACGTATACAACACATACGCGTAAAAATGTTTTTAATATATAACTTTTTTATTAGACTTGCAATCTCACTTTTAATCGTTTACTAATAATTCTTCATATTATCCTTACTGTGCATACTATATTTCATACACAGACAAACTTCAGAATTTTTTTTATTAAATAAGTATTATTACGAACTGACACAAAGCAGCCGATAACAAAATTGTAATTTTTGATTTTATATGATTTATATATGCAAACATAGCTAGCGCGGTTCGTTTTTATAAGTACTTTAATCGTGGAAAAAATTTATTGATTAGTATAGTCAATAAAAAGTTATATGAAAAAATAAATATTCTCGCATTCGGTCGGTAAAAACATCATCCGGGATCCCCTTAACCGCACATACGAACAAGAAATACGAAAAATTTCGCACCTCTGCTTTTCTTTTTCAACGGGGGAGATATGTTATAGTTTGAATGACTATAACCGATTATATTAAATATTATTATTATATTTTATATATAATATTAACCATATATTTTATTCATATTAAAAATATTTTTTATTAAAATATGTAGTTTAATTTTTAAGTTTTTATCGTTTATTATTGCTTATTATTGCTTTTTACTATTTGAGTATCTTTATGCGCTTTACGAAATCCAGCCATTATTGACGATTTTTGCGACTTGAGTGGCATCTAGTGGCGATTTGATGTTCCAAATATCTGGCAACCCTGGACCATATAAGTATATAGTTTAGTTAGGTTCTCTTTTACCGACATAACCTTAAATCTACCTTCGGTATGTTTATACACATGTACTTTTTCTCTTTATCCATCTCTCTGAAATAAAATAGAGAGATGAATAAATGATCGATAATTGCTAATTAATAATTAAATACACAACTTTTTTTAGAAATGCCGCCGAAACGAGGAAAGGTTCAGAAGGAAGAGGTTCAAGTTTCTCTTGGACCGCAACTCCGTGAAGGAGAAGTGGTTTTCGGGGTGGCTCACATCTTCGCGAGCTTCAATGACACATTTGTACATGTTACTGATTTATCGGGCAGGTACGAATTATCTTAGATTATGGTTTGTAGATATAAGTACAAATTTAGGAACTCATGACATATATGTAAAAAAAATTATATATGATATGATATATGAAATAATATATGATTTTTTGTAAAAAATTTTTCTTACAAGAAAAAGATATATGTCATAGGCAAATGGTTATTTTAGGAAAATAGTTTTTGATTAGTTAAATACTATCTGCCTGGTCAAATGGTTTTCGCTTGTTTGTTATTTTTTTCAAATGCTACTTTCCTAGTTAAATGTTATTTTCCTACGACATATACATATAACTGTGTCTTCGATTCAGGGAAACCATCGCCAGAGTTACTGGTGGCATGAAAGTGAAGGCAGATCGTGATGAAGCATCACCCTATGCAGCTATGCTTGCAGCTCAGGTATGCCGATTTTATTAATTTTTTGTATTTAAATTAATTCAAGAAATTAGTGCGTTATCCATATCCAGGCAGCACCTGAACAACGAACTTATATTCTAAGAAACATTTGTTTTTGGAAGATAAATTCTTTTTGATAATTGAGAATATATGTATATATCCTAAATAGCAAACTGATGTCATTAAATGTCAAACTGATATTATTAAACATCAAACTGATGTCATTAAATGTTAAACTAATGTCATTAAACATCAAAATGACGTTTAATGATGTCAGTTTGTTATTTAGGATATATACACATATTCTTAATTATCAAGAAGAGTTTAGTCATTTTGATATTTAATGACATCATTTGATGTCAAAATGATGTATGCTTGCTACCTGGGACATATATGTATATTACCTGTTTTTCTTAAAAAAAGAAAACATTTACAAACCTGTGATATTGCATACAGGGAAATCTAAAAGTACAAAGCATGATCGACAAGTTTAATCATGAAATACATAACTTTATATTTTGCAGGATGTTGCAGAAAAGTGTAAATCACTAGGTATCACAGCACTGCATATCAAATTGAGAGCTACAGGAGGTAATAAAACAAAGACTCCTGGTCCTGGTGCGCAATCTGCTTTGCGTGCCTTAGCCCGTTCCAGCATGAAGATTGGTCGTATTGAGGATGTCACTCCTATTCCATCAGATTCTACCCGTAGAAAGGGAGGTCGCCGTGGACGCAGGCTATAAGTCATGATTATAGATTTCTGCGCTTTATTATCTTCCAATAAATAATTTCAAGAAGAAATATTGCATTTATGAAACATTTCTATACAGCCTTTTTCAAATTCATATATATGTAAATATGTAAAAAATGTTTTTAATTTCTAAATATATTTTACATATTTTTTATCATTGCACTTCATCATAAAAGCATAACTATATAGATATAACCATATAGATTATATATTAGAAAAAAAACATTTTTTAAAATAATTTTTATTTTATCACGTTAAGTGTTTTTTAATTAATAGGAATTTTACTTATATTAAAGAGGAAAAAAAATATATTTTGAAAAAATAGACTGATGGATTCGTCAATCAATTTAAGAAAAAAAATTATATAGAATTAAAATTTCTACGAGAATTTTAGATAATTTCTCAACTTTTGTGAAGAAGCTTAAAAATGATTGTATACATAGATTTCTTTATTCATTATATCCCAGAATAACAGATACACATGTAATTACCTTTGAGACAAAATTTTTTTTTTTTAATTAAAAGCAGTTTTAAAAATCTAATTTTAGAGTAGTGTTCATTAATGACTAAGATATTTATTTAAATTTAAAAAAATGTATACTACAAAATTATTTATATTTATATACAAAACAAAGTTTCTACAAAAAAAATAGAAAAATCTAAAAATACTTTCTAGACGGACAATAAACATACTATGGACTGGGATAATGTGCGTATATTAGACAAAGAAAAGAATTATTATAAAAGATTGATTGGTGAAACAATACACATAAAACAACAAAAACAAGAACTTAATGTCATAGAAGATTTAGAATTATTAGATCAGACATATTTCCCGCTTCTTGATAAGTTAGCGAAAACAACACGAATCTTAAGAAAGTTAAAAAACAAGTATACACAGTTTAAAATTGTCAGTTGCTTAGTGAACGTGGCAGAGTTAAGTTGACAATACATATTGCCTAACCAGGGAAATAGTGAACTTTATATAGTACATCATGATTATTCCGGTATGTTAAATAGTTCTCTAAATTTGGTTAATATAAGAGGAGTTATTTAAAAAGGTTGAATTTAAAAATAGATTTCATCGTATATTAGGACACATACCATCTTGACTAAGCAATTCTTATATTGAACAACCATGAAGTTTAACATAAATATCGACACCGTTTGACTAGTCAAATTATTAAGTAATTCCTTATGAATTCTCAAAGTATTCATAGTACTGTCGCAAAGTATTCATTAAAATGAATGTATAAAGAATATGTAAAGACGAACTGATTATGGATAATTCTTCAAGAATTCTTTAAATATTCATTTTTCTAATTCTGTAAGTATTCTTTAAAATAAATTCCTTATGAACTTATATTCACCGTTGTGCTATCTGGGACCAACACATGGTTAAAAATTCGTAATTTATTTGTTTGCATCTAATGTAATGTACCTAATTATACACTGAAGAAGACATCAGTTAATGTTCGAAACGTTTGTAATTAATAATAAATTTTTATAATATTTTATGAATATCGCTTGTTTTAGGCCTTTTATAATATCAATTTAATTATTTTTTTAAATGACGACGAGCTTGATTTTTATTTAAATTTGCTATACTTTCTAGACGTTCAAAATTGAATAATTTGTTAATAATTTTCTCTTGAAAGAGAGAGAGAGAGAGAGAGAGAGAGAGAGAGAGAGAGAGAGAATTAGTTTGTTTTCTTAATTAGTGTGTATTTTATAAATATTCGAGTTTGAGTAAGTTAATGATTTTTTAAAACTAAATTAAGTTAAAGATAGTTGCATATAAAATTAATTTAGTTAGGTCAAAAGTTGCATGAACAAAAAATTAACTCAGTTAAAGTTAAGATTAAATTAACAACTGCGAAGTTAAATCAAAAGTTAATTTTTAAAAGTTATTAATTTTTTAACTTTTAACTATATATAATTATTACTAATTATACTAGTTATTACCTAACTCTGTAAATATTAAATTGTTTATTAAAAATTAATTAATTTTATAGATTAAAAATTAAATTATTTAGTATAGAATAATAAATTTATAATAAATAATTTTCTTTCTTTATATTCTTTATTTATATTATGTTTACGTTGTTTTTTATTATTTTTATTACATTCTTACAATACATATTTAATTATATGATATTTATTCTTGTACTTCTTCCTCCTTTTAAATCGAGCGGGTTTATAGTCGCAGACATAGAGGTCTGTTCTTTTCAGCTGAACTAGTGTAGCCAGTGTAGCCAAAACGAACAGACCTATAAGCGGGGAGCACACACTCTTGCATAAGCGCATAAGCATATGCATAAGAAATTCGATTGGTTGAATTTCTTATGCATACGTTCATAGACCAATCAAGATTCTTAGGGTGCGATTACATGGACGCGCGGAAACGCGGAAACGCGGAAACGCGGAAGAGAAAGTAACTAAACTTTACTAGAGTCCCGCATTTCCGCGCGTTCCGTTCCGTCTGTTTTGATTGCCTTATATTACATGGAGCACATTTTGAGCGGAAAAGCGGAACGGGGAATTATAAAATATTAATATTTAACTATATTTATTGATTAAAATGCTTGTATTCAATAGATAAGTTGAAAAGATGAACATATTAAAAGGAATTACAATGAATTAAGTAAATATAAATTTAAAAAATTAATACAAATGTCTATTTGTCACTATACCGTTCCGCTTTTCCGCTCAAAATGTGCTCCATGTAATATAAGGCAATCAAAACAGACGGAACGGAACGCGCGGAAATGCGGGACTCTAGTAAAGTTTAGTTACTTTCTCTTCCGCGTTTCCGCGTTTCCGCGCGTCCATGTAATCGCACCCTCATCCTTACGCTTATGCGTCTATGCAAACGTGTGTGCTCCCCGCTATAATTTGCGCTACTGCGCATGCGTCGATAAAAAATTCCACGCTGCCAGAGAGAAGCTGACGGCTTGACGATCGCTCGGCCATTTTTGTCGTGTTCGTCGCAACGAGGAGTCGATACTCCGCTCGCGAAGAGGTAGAGTATATAATTATCACAAATAGAATTATTCCATCCGATTATTCTTAATTACTCGAGCAATTTAGTCACTATTATTATTGTGCTAAAGTCCTAAATTAAATTATATATATATATATATTTCAAAGCGTAATTGAAAATACTCTTTATTGGTTATTGCGCGACCACGTGGCGGATATATATTTTATGAATATTTAACTGTTTATTAAAAAGTAAATTATTAAAAATAATTTATTTCATAAATTTATTAAAAATTAAATTATTAAAAATTAATTTATTTGATAAAAAATTATTTTATAAATTGAATATTAAATTATTTGTGAATAATATATTTTCGATTTGAAGCATTATGAGATTTGAAATTTATTTCTTTTCGTTTCTACGCGATTCTAAAATAATTGTACCTTCAGGTGACAATTATTCGACATGGTGAACGGAAGAATTCCGTCGGTCTTCTCCAAGACCTACGTCACTCCCAGGAGGCCGTACGAGAAGGCTCGTCTTGACCAGGAGTTACGTATTATCGGAGAATACGGGCTTCGTAATAAACGTGAAGTATGGAGGGTCAAATATGCCCTAGCCAAGATCCGGAAGGCTGCTCGTGAGTTACTCACGCTGGAGGAGAAAGATCCGAAGCGTCTCTTCGAAGGTTAATCACACATGCATTTATACTCTGAAAAGAATTTTTTTAAATATTTTTATTGTATATTTTATATATAAAAAGTATATAGATATTTTTACATATTTTATTATATTATATATTTTTATATTTTTTTTGCATATTAATTTATTACATTTGTATATTAATCAGTTATATAATTATTGAACGCCATATGATGATTACGCTATACTTTCTGACACCTCTTGTCTGAATGTCTTTGTAGATATAAGCGTGGTAACTGATAGATAGATTGCTTGAAAAATATTTTTCTGAAAATCTTATAATTTTTTTAATACAAGAATATTCATACAGGAAATGCCCTGCTTCGTCGTTTGGTAAGAGTTGGTGTGTTGAACGAAGCTCACATGAAACTCGATTACGTGTTGGGCTTGAAGATTGAAGACTTTCTGGAGCGCCGTCTGCAGACTCAAGTATTCAAGCTGGGATTGGCCAAGTCCATCCATCATGCTCGCGTGCTTATTCGCCAACGGCATATTCGGTAAATTATTAGAAATAATATGTGTCGTTACATGTTGGAAAATAGAACACTTCTATTGTTGAGAGAAAACGAACATTTTTATTGCAGAAAAAGAAATTAGAGAAAGAATAGAGACAGAGATTTTGCAATTTATATAAATTTAATCAGAAATTTGTTTGAGGTACAAAAGATATGGATTTTTTTTACAAACGCCTTAAAAAATGGGCAAGAAATGGCCGAATTATTTTCAATTGGTGCATTTCTAATCTTTGAGGCAAAATCAAGAGCCTAGCTTAATCACCGGTTAAGGATCGATTCCTTTTTCGGTTTCATACTGGGCTACAAACTTAAAATTTATATATATAATATTTAACAAAAATTATTTGAATATTTTATAATTCGATAAAACCTGTAAAAATTTCGATATTTGAAGGTTCAACATTCGGTGAGACGGTGAACGAATTCTGCTGCTTAAGTATCGAAATGTGGCTTCTTGGTCAACTGATCGGATGATTGTCTACATCAGAATTCGCATATTAACAAAATTTCACGCAGGCCACTTAAGTGTCATTTTGTGACACTTAATGTCTGTTACCCTCCTGTTGAGATTCTTCTCAACAAAATTGAATTCATGCAGGCCACTTAAGTGCTTTTTTGGCACTTAACGTCTGTCGAGATCCTCCCCTTTCTTATCGAGAGACAGAAAAAAAGGAAATTTTGGTAGAGTCTTTATCTTTTTATAATAGAACAAAGTGTATACTCCTGGGAAAAACTTCGAAAACTTGATATTTTTAGGAAATTTTGTTTTATTTTGAAAAATCAGGGAATCTTTATGGAATTTGTTTGGGATTCAGAGAATTTCAAAACAATTGCCCTTTTAATAATTTTACTCTAACATATCTTTGCAATATTTAAGTTTTTATTAAAATTTTGTAAATTTTTATTGATGATCTATTTCAGTATCAAGATCTTATGCAAATAAAAAATTGTTCAATTTTTTAATAAGCAATATTTAAATAAATTTTAGTACTTATTTACTTAATTAAAAAAATGATTTGACAAATTAATATTTCTTAAGACGTAAATAAAATTCAATAAAAAAAAAATTTTTTCCTATTTTTTTGTATTTTGCATATATTTTAGCGTTTAGATATAATGATATATTGCACGTTGTTATTGTCCTAATTAATTTTACAATTAAAAAATTAATATTAAAATTATTAAATGATTAAACAATGTTATTAAATTATTAAATACTAGAATAATTGCACTCTTGATAACTTCAATCGTATGAATAGAGAGAAACTTTTAAAAAGGTTGCAGCTACAAATTTTCTTATTTTAAAATAAAATAAAACTTTAAAAAAATTTTCTTATTTTATCTGAAATTTTAAATAAAAATACCAGGAAAATCAGCAAATTTTTTTTACAAAATTTGAGTAGATACCCTCTAGAAGAATTTGCAGTTAATGGCTTTAAATGCAAACTCGAAGGAACCAAGTGATTAACAATGTTTTTTTTATTTGTTACAGAGTGCGTAAACAGGTGGTGAATATTCCATCGTTCATCGTGCGATTGGACTCGCAAAAGCATATCGATTTCTCGCTGAAATCACCATTCGGTGGCGGCAGACCTGGCCGCGTCAAGAGGAAGAACCTGAGGAAGGGAAGTGGCGGTGCTGTACCAGAAGAGGAGGAGGATTAAATTGATTGTTGTCGCGGTTTATTGTCTCAATAAATGCGCGATCTATAATAATTAATTGTCTCTTTTTTTTTTGTTTCTCCAACACGTTCTTGAATCCTTTCCTGAGGAAAAATTTAGAATACATAAAAAGTATCTAAAGAATAAAATTTTTGAAGTTTGATTAAAGATAAAGATTTATGGCATTTGTATATTTCTTTGATAATTCATTCAAAATCACGTATTTATTTTAATAACATTAAGATATAAATTTAGATAATATATGCAATAAGAACATGAATAAAATAATGAAAAAATGTATGAATTTAAATTTACTAGAAAAAATAGGAAAATTGAAAACAATTTTCCCGTCTAAAATTAAAATATGTATATTCTATTTTTATATATTTTAGAGTTTTACTGTAATAATTAAAAATTGTCTTGAGATTGGCTAGATAATTTGAAAAAAATATTAAAGAGATAAAGCTCCATTGATATCTCTGTATAAATAAAAAATAATAGCTTGAATATATCTATTAAATCATTAAATATGTCATTTTTCATTAGAAGTATATCAAATATTTTGAATATGTTTACAAAATTTAAAAATATTAAAAATTAATCAAGTATTCTACAGATTAATCTCTAAAAAAGAGTTTCTCTTGAAGTTCTTTTTTTATCGTTACATTTTCTTCAAAATAAAACTTATTTTATTAAATAAAATTAGTAATTAGCTCTGTTAAATTAATAATTGTAAACAAAGAAGGGCTATAAGAGCTATTAAACATAACAAGTTGTCAGTTAATATTAAAAAATATAACAAAACTTCATTTGAACGTAGCAAGAAATAAATAAGAAGTGATCATTTATTCGTATTTTAACGAAATAATATATACATAAGAAATACACATTAGAGCGAACGTTTTGGCTGACATTTCGAGCCTTCCTCAGCGCAATACAAATATTATATAAATTGAAATGTAATATTGAACATTAAAGACGGCAATCAACGATGTCAAGATAATAAAAAGTCAGTTTTTTGTCTCATTACATATGTTTCTAAATAAGTCATCGCGTGTGACAAGTGCAAATTTTTGATACATACTGAGACCGAGCGACAGTGCCATGTAATCACTGTGTATAGGCCTCCTGATTTATTGGTCAAGGGAGATATCTTGATTGAATCGTCATATTGAAATGTTGTTAGACATTAAATGGAGATCTCGCGTCTGATACTTGTAACTTCTATTAAATAATCGCCAATTTTATTTGAATCTCCATTTAATGTCTAACAACATTTCAATATGACGATTCAATCAAGATATCTCCCTTGACCAATAAATCAGGAGGCCTATACACAGTGATTACATGGCACTGTCGCTCGGTCTCAGTATGTATCAAAAATTTGCACTTGTCACACGCGATGACTTATTTAGAAACATATGTAATGAGACAAAAAACTGACTTTTTATTATCTTGACATCGTTGATTGCCGTCTTTAATGTTCAATATTACATTTCAATTTATATAATATTTGTATTGCGCTGAGGAAGGCTCGAAATGTCAGCCGAAACGTTCGCTCTAATGTGTATTTCTTATGTATATATTATTTCGTTAAAATACGAATAAATGATCACTTCTTATTTATTTCTTGCTACGTTCAAATGAAGTTTTGTTATATTTTTTAATATTAACTGACAACTTGTTATGTTTAATAGCTCTTATAGCCCTTCTTTGTTTACAATTATTATTTTATTAAGAAATAATGGAAATATTTATTGTACCATACAATTTAATATTAATAACATTATATATACTATGAATTAAGGAATAAATAAAATTGTCTTATCTATAAAATAAAACAATCATCTAGAATATAATAAATAAAACGGTTTAAAAAAGGCATTTTTTAATTAATTTATACATATATAATTTTATAAATTGTCTGATCAATTGTAAATATATAATTATAATATATTGTTTAACTAATAATTCTCTTTTTTTAATTGAGTGATATTGAAATAATTTTGTCAAATTAGAATTATTTTTTACAGAGAGTAAAAAAATTACTTATTAAAGAAATTCTATTGACAATAAAATTAATGTTAAAATAGCAATGCATATTGTATAATTTATAGCGAGTTTATTAATTTTACAATTTTATTGTAATTCATCATTGTTCGACATATGTTTTCGACGAAACATCGAATTTAATCGACAGAAACTTCAGAGTTGCGTTCGGAAATCCCTGCGTCAAAATTCAAAATTCGGCCGACCAATCGGAACGCGAGGATCTCTTCGTCCTGATTGGTCAATCTCGCGCTTCTCTTTAACTGAATATATTTCCGAACACAATCTAGAATGCTCCCATCTGGTGCGCTTTCGAATTGTTCACGATAAATATTCACGCGTTTGTCGCCGGTTACTGATTTCATATAACATTGGATAGCGTATAAAATAAGTATGAATAAAATTAATCAAAATTACACTGTTTTAACATAATATATAAAATATAAAATTTAAACAAAATTAAAATTTATTTTAAGAATATATTGCAAGCCTATTAAAATAAAGTTTGAAATATAAAAATAAAATAATAAAATGCAAGAGAAAATCTATATATAAAAAGTATGTACAATTTAAAACAAAAACAAAAAAAAGATAGTGCCAATAGTACATGGTGTTCCCAAGCGGTCACCCATCTAAGTACTGACCATGCTCAACGTTGCTTAACTTCAGTGATCGGACGAGAACTGGTGCTTGAACAACGTGATATGACCGTTGACGAAAATAGCATTTTCAATTGCTGGGAAAATACTATATGTAATTTGAAAATTTTTAGGTTATTGTCATTAGAGTATCCCTTTCTTAATAATCACTTCGGGACTTTCGACTATCGATATAACGTATTTTTTTTTAGAAAGAGATATTCTCATAACAATAACCTAAAAACTTTCAAATTATATGTACTATTTCCCTAGCAATTGAAGACGCTATTTTCGTCAACGGTCATATCACGTTGTTCAAGCACCAGTTCTCGTCCGATCACTGAAGTTAAGCAACGTTGAGCATGGTCAGTACTTAGATGGGTGACCGCTTGGGAACACCATGTACTGTTGGCACTATCTTTTTTTGTTTTTGTTTTAAATTGTACATACTTTTTATATATAGATTTTCTCTCATATTTTATTATTTTATTTTTATATTTTAAACTTTATTTTAATAGGCTTGCAATATATTCTTAAAATAAATTTTAATTAATTCGTTTAAATTTTATATTTTATATTATATTAAAACAGTATAATTTTGATTAATTTTATTCATATTTTATTCATATAAAACAGATAATTAAAAATAATTATATTTGTTACATATATATATATATATATATATATATATATATATACAGAATTTACAAATGCATATATGCAGTTCATTGCATACTTGATTTTAAAGTGTATTTCATTATTTATTCTAGTTTAAATTTTCAATTAACTTTATTTATATATACAGACACTTGAAGATAATTTATTATATACGCATAAATTTGCTAATATATATATTACAGTTTATTGAATGTCAAATATATTAATGCCCTAATATTGTAACTGTATCTGGTAAGTTTTTATCAAGTCTAATCATATGATTATTTTCTGTTTATAATAAAAATCAAAACGACAAAGATAATAATTATGATCGTGGCGTATACTATGAAAAAAATGAGAAAAGCGTGTTACGCTTCGAAAATAAATAATAATAAACAATCGGGCGCTAGATAAACTAATCTACTAAACTACATTTGCTCGAATTTGTTATTTCAGATAAACGAGCTTAAAGCTATAGTGGTCACCGCAAAAAACTTACAAAAAAATGCTCTCGGGGATCGCTGATATCTTTTTTCTTTTTTTTATATTTTGTAATAAAAATGTATACATTTGAATTATTAATCATTTATTTTAAAAAATCTTTGTTTAAAAAAAATTCCAAAAAATACATGTTTTTCTCGACTTCACAGTAGATAGGTATAACCCTTTAAAACCTATGATTCTTTTTGTCACCTTTAAATCATTTTTTAATCATTTTTGTTTGGGTAACTTTTAAGTGATGAATAAAATCATGATGACGTTATTATGACGTCATTATGAGTTTTATGTTCTACCTAGATAATAATTAAAATAGTAATGTCAGTGTGACTATATAAATAGCATTGTTGAGGCTATGTAAAAACTTTGAAATTTTTAAATAGAAACTTCTATTTTTAGTTGTACATTCTTGTATAGCTATACTTATTTCGACAATTTTTTAAAACATTTTAATAAATAAGTATTTTTTCATTCAATGCTTTTCGAATTATGATGAAGTTCATAGTATTTTGATATAAAGTATAAAATACAAAATATCTTGTAAAATATTTAGTTTTCTATAATCTTACCTATTAATACTTTTATGCATAAAGTAATTAGACAAATTGTTATTTTTGAGAAACTGTAATTCGCAACATATTTTTTCTTAAAAATAATTATGCGGTTTTCTTACACCCGCAATTAATGATTGATTAATCTTATTATTCTGTGCATAAAAGTATTAAGGTAAGATTGAATATTTTACAAGATATTTTGTATTTTATCAAACTGTATCTTTTTCAGGCCTCATAACTCGAAAAGTACTCAATAAAAAAACTGTTATAGTATTTTAAAAAGTTTTTAAGATAAGTTTATATGAATATGTAATAAAAAATAGAGGTTTCCATTAAAAAATTTTAAAATAAAGTCTATGTAGTTTTAACAATAATTGCATGCCATTTATAGTTACATCGATATTACTACTTAAAGCCCTACAACTTTTATTAAAAACATTTTTCTTAAAAAAACCTTTTGTTTTCAAAATATTTAACTGTTGCAGAACACTTTGTATATATCAAACGCGAATATATATACTATATATATATATATATATATATATGTCAAATATATGTCAAATTCTCAGTGTCTTTCTGTAGGTGTCTTAACAGTATTATCATGCTTCTTTATGAAGAACATTTCAGCAATTTCTCTCTTTCTTACATGTTTCTCATTATGT